TTATGCATGATGTGCATAAGATAGGCGCGGGGGAATGTCGTGAGCAAAAAGGGATCATGGTAATGCGATACGTGTCACATTACGTAATTAGTGTTGTTGTGGAAAGAACGGTGGGAAATTAGTGTGGGAGAATTTAAAGGTGGGAATTTCTAGAATAGCGTAGAACGAGCGATCAGATGTAAACATGTAAACAATAGGTACATATATAAATATATGCGCAGTCCAGTAGCATGTAGACAGATTTTTGGTGAATTAGAGTTAATTAAGGATACACTAGCATTTAAAACAATAAAGTCAAGTTTGTAAATAAACTCTTATCTTGTGTTTTGTATGCCAAAGTAGACTTGTAACTTAGGCTACGTGACTACGAGAGAGAACCGACGGTTGCCTAAGGGAATTGGTATAGGAAAGGTTCTAGATTGATCGGTAGAGAAGTTAAAGTAAGAGAACGGCCAAATCGGAAACACGCCTCAAGAGTTAGAAACTTACCTTATTGTAAACGAAAGCGACGAACAGTAGTGCGGGCTGGACAAATAGCCCGTGACAATAAATATAGTGCTAAACTTAATATACCCGTTGCGTATCCATCATGTATCCGTCGTGTACCTGCTGTATTTAATATTAAAAAAGAAAATCTATAATTTAAAAAAAAAAATTTTTTTATTTCTAATTAAAACATTCTAGCTCCCATCACTTGATATTATTAGTGAATCATTATAATACTTAGTGGGAGTCTTATTATTACATATAATCAGTGATTCGTCATAATACCCTTATTCGTCATAATACCCCTATTCGTCATAATACCCCTATTCGTTATAATACCCCTATTCATTATAATACCCCTGTCTCCCTTATATATTTATTTAAAATTTTGAAGATTTAGTATTTTAAAAAAATATTATTTGATTTTTGAAATTTTTTGAAAATTTTTTTGCTTTTTCAAATATATAAATTTTTTTTAAAAAAATTTTTATTTATTTTAATTATATCAAAATTCTTAAATAATTAATTAAAAATTAAAATTAATTGATTAATATATAGAATAAAATATAAACAAAATATAATTTATATATATATTATATTATATTATAATAAATTCAATAATATAATTAATTATAAAAAAAAAAAACTTTCTCCTAATCATGTTTACTTTGCTAAAAAATTTTCTTTTATGGTAATTTTTGTCAAGAAAAAATGTTTTACACTTTTTATCGCAAGTAAGTCCCAGCTTAAGAACTCAAAAACTTTTAAAACAATTGATGCAGTATATACATGTTATTGAAATTCATAGATTCTTGACACAATTGATGCAATTATTTGATACAATTAATTAAGTCACTATTAAAATATATAAATAATTGAGTTATAACACAATTATTTTTGAAGATTTTGGGAATTGAGTCAACAGCAAAATAATTTATGTTACATGTATAGTGCAATGGAATGTAAGGATGGGTCCTTAAACTATTTAGTATATAAAATTTCACAGATTAATTATGTCTCTTTTAAAGGGACATAATTATTTATTCATTATTTTAATAGGGACATAATTCAAAAAACACTTGGATAAAGTATTCTAAATTGCAAAAAACCTTTGTAGGTAATTTTTTTTTGACCTTATATTTAAAAAAAAACTTTTTTAATAGTGAGAGACATTTGAATTATGTCCTCGCCTTTAATTTAGGAATCCATTTTTACCTCAGCACCAAGAAAAATTGGAAAAAGCTTGTGGAATATTAAAAATAAAAATTTTAAAACCTATTTTAGATGTAAAAACTCAATGGAATTCAACATACAAAATAGTTACACATGCTATTGAATTAAAAAACGTAAGTTCATTTAATTTTTTAAAGTTTATGCAAGTTATTTAAATATTTCTATTTTAGGCAATTAAATATACTGCGTTTATATATCAAGAATTAAAAAAATATCAATTTAACGAGAATAACTGGGAAATATTTGAACAAATGGGTAATTATTATTGAAGGCATCAAAAATGCTAGATATGATTTTTTCAAACCCAACTTTTAGACAATACATATATAGTATAAATTTCAGAATCCCATCAGAAAATTTCCAGTCCGCCTTCGAAAATAATTACCCAAATACAAAATTTCTTGCACCATTTCAACAAATAACAACAATGGTATCAGCAAAAACATACTCTACTCTCATCATAACAGTTCCCTCATATAATTATCACTAGATTATGTAGAAGATGTTAAAGATAATAGTACATATGATATAACAGTACAAATAGTATCAAAAAAATGTGCAGAAAAACTTAAAGAATATTATAACAAAACAAATATAACTTATTTAGTGACTATAGTTTTGGATCCAAGATTTAAAATGGAATATTATAATATAAATAATTGGGATAAAAAATTAATTGATGAGAATTACAATAAGTAAATATAATTTTTTAATTTTAATTTATTATTTATTAATTAAGTATTAAATATATAAAATTTTTAGCTTTCTAAAAGTTTTTAAAGAATACAATAAATTAAACACAAAAAATTACAACAAGTGAAAAAAAGAAAAAGAAAAAGAAACAAGTGATATTATTTGTACTAAATTATTTAAACGACAAAATATAAAAAAAAAATGAGCTGGAATTATATCTTTCTTTACCTTGTGCAACAGAAGAAACAAATATATTAGAATAGTGGAAGTTAAATGAATACTAGTTTCCAGTTTTAGTATATATGGCATATTATTATTTAGCAATACCTATAACAAGTGTACCTGCAGAACAGATATTTTCAACTAGTAAAAATTTAATAACTGATACAAGAAACAGGTTATTAGATAAAACAGTTAGAGCATATATGTATTTAAAATTGTAGTAACAAGAAATTTTAGTAAATAATAGTTAAATTTTATTTTTATACTATATAATTTTATTACTGTATAGCACTTACTATAGTATCCCTGATATTATTCAAAAAATTCTAGATTAATTTAAATAATATCCAGAGGGATATTATGTAAAGAGGGGAATACTATTTATTAATAATATTAAATATAGATCATAAGGTAATATAAAAATTTATATAATATAAAATATTAGATATTATAATTTTTTTTAATAATGGCTCTGTATGCTAACAAATCTATAAAACATTCAAGAATAACAAAAAAATTATGTCATCAATAGAATGCATGCAAAAAACTTATAGCTATTATGTATTATGAAAAAGGATATAGTAAAAATAAAACTGCAGCTAAATTTAATATTCAAACAAAATGACTTTAAGATTGTTATCTAACTTTTAAATGCATAACCTAGTCTAAAACAATTAAATAAGGACAAATCTTCTAAATATTCAGCTTTGGAAGCTACTTTAGTTAAGTAGATTAAAGAATAAAGAAAAAATCAACATATTATTTTATAAAGTATAGTTCAAATAAAAGCAAAAATACTCGTGCAACAATTACAATGGCAAAATATTTATCCTGATATTCAATCTTTTATTTTTAGTAATAAATAGTTGGATAGTTTAATATATTGTAACAATTTGAGCAATTGTTATAAAACTATTATTGCACAACATTTATCGGAAGATTTAATTGAAAAATACAAGAGTTTTTAGCATTTATTATATATCAACATATACAACATGATTATCCATTAACATTTATCAATAATATGAATAAGATTCCTATGACATTTGATCTTCCAAGTAATATAATGATTGATGAATTGGGAGCTTGATTTATTAGTATTCATATAACAGAACATGAAAAAACAAATTTTACTGTAGTATTAAGCTGCATGACTGATGAAACGAAACTTTCTTCTACTATAATTTTTAAACTTAAAAATATTTCACGAGAAAATTTTTTATTAGAAACAATTATTTGAGCTAATCCAACAGGATAGATGAATAAAGAAGAGATGCTTTATTGGATTGAGAATGTTTGGATCAAACATATCTTATTATCTAATTTACAATTATTATTTATTTTAGATTCATTTTTGGCACATATAGTTGATTCTGTAAAATTTTATTTTAATGAAAAAAAAACAAATTTGGCAGTTATTCCTGAAGAATTAACATTATGCCTCTAATATTTAAATGTTATAATTAATAAATCATTTAAAACAAAAATAAGAATTATATATTAATATTGTATTTTTAAAATTTTATTATTTAATAAATTTTTATTTTATTTATAGATGCGACAATATTATAATGAGTGGATGGCTAAATCTATAAAAGAATTAACATCCACCAATAAAATTAAAAAACCTTCTTATGAAACTATTGCAAATTGGATTAATGCTTCATGGAATGCAGTTGATATTGGCTTAATTTAACATTCATTCAAATATTGTGGTATTTCTAATAATTGAAATAAAATTGAAGATGGACTAATATTTGATGATAAAATTCTTGAGATACCAAATTTAACAAGTGATAATATCAAAGTGTTGAAAAATAATAATAAAAATATAGAAGTAATTGACCTTAGTAATAGTATTGAAAATAACTATTATATTGAATAAGAAATGAATTATCCAAATGTATAGGATGATTAAAGGTATAGATTATAGTTAGATAAATTTAGAATATCAATAGTTTCGAAGAAAAATAAAGATTTTATAGAATTACATTCTTCTTGATCAATATATATACAATATAATTTTAACTTGTCTAAATTCAAAAATATTTAGATTTAAATAAGATAAATAGAAAACTATTTTTATATTTTTTTATTATCCGATAAATAATCATAATATGTGATATCGAATAGCAATGGCACCAGTGGCAAAAAGAATTAGAAAATATAAGACAGAAGAATAACAAAAAATAAATTGAATTGAGGGCAACTACCTACCATAAGAAACCAGTAGAATAACTTAGAAAAGAAGAATAAGAGAGTGCAACCAAGAGTCGAGATGGCAGGTATGCGAAAGGAAAGCAAGACATAATGCACCTGTTGCTTGTATTGAGCCTGGGATCAAGGAGCACCTGAGTCAAAAACAAATGCCATCTAGAAAAACAAGTATCATTAGTACTTGTGAAAAGAAGGTACTGATCTCAAATAATAAAACCAAAAAGATACTAACTGATGAGATTGGCTACAAGGAATCTTATGATGCAGATGATGAAAATAGTTCATGTAAAGTAAGACTAAGGATCCTAATGATTCTCTTCGATTCTGTATTTGATTCTCAAGTTTATATTAAATTTAATAGGTGGAGTATACCCCACCATCATTTTTA